AAATATCAATAGTTGGCTAGTTAAAAATATTACAGTTTACTGGGCATAAAACATAAGTCCATAACATCATAAGGAAAACTACAAACTCTACCATTTACATTCTATTACTTAATCCAGCTTCTTAAAGCATTACATGATCATCAACCGGCCTCTAAACTGCATACACTCAGCACTAGCTGACACCAGGCTCTATCCTGGTGCAGTGGGACACTAGCGCCTATTATGCTGCTAATACCAATAAAGGGTGGTGGTGTCACACTCCTTAACAAATGAGGTTGAGAATCAATATTTACCATTGTTGTCATAGCACAATGGCATCACTTAAGATCCTCATTTGCCCACCTCAATAATACATATAAAAGCACCTACTACCTGGTAGAAATGATCCATGGTACACACTACTGCATATTCTAAAATATCCTAGCAGTCAATTAACACAAATATGGCCACTAAAACCGGACCAGAGCGACATACGTCCACCCTACTAGAAAGTGCAAACAGTAGTGACCGCCCAAGAAGCCAAGCAGGCTGAGAGCGACACTATTTCCAACATCTACAAGCCAGCTGACTCTCTTCTTTCAAATTTCTCTAGCTCATATACAAACATTTCATAGTAAATAACCTCTAATTCATAATATAACTAAACAAGGGTTATAATATACAACCTTACATAATACAGTGGAACCTCTATTAACGAGTGGCTCTATTAACGAGTTTTTCCAGTAACGAGCAAGCCACTCGCAGCAAATTTGTCTCTATTGACGAGCTCGCCTCTATTAACGAGTGAAACCACATGGCGCTTCCTAGCGTCTCGCGGGTTCTCGCAAATTCTCGGACGCCTCCGACGCCAGTGTTGTTGTTGTATCTCACACGACAAGCATCCCTCTGGATTTATTTGAGCTTTTCTTTGGGTTTTTAGTGGTTTTGCGACTACAATTTGTAACAAACGATGTCTCCAAAGAAGCTGCTTGCTAAAGATAGTGTTGTCAAGAGGAAGAAAGACACAATTACTGTGGATTTAAAGAAGGAAATTATAGCAAAGCATGAGTGTGGTGTCTGTGTGATTGATCTCACAAGGAAGTATGGCAGGTCCTCATCAACAATTTACACCATTAGTAAGGGAATGAGGAGGTAAGGGAGGATGCTGCCTCTTAAACTGAGATCAGGGAAGTGTTTGGAATGTTTGAAAAGGTGAACGCATTCTTGGAAAAGCTGCCCTGATAAAGCAATGACAACCCGGTGTGTGAAAATGTTTAATTAATTTATCACTTTGTGATAACACTTTATGAAAGTGTTATCACTTTCGCAGGTATATGTCGCTTGAACATAACACACTTTTTTTCTCTTGAATGTTCCCAAACACCGCGCTCAAGCGTCATTTGAGCAAATATTTCTATAAAATCCAATTCTTATCCGATTGACTTGGGGATTGTATACAAGTTTGCCATGAAATTTCCGTTTTCTTTAATAACCACATTGCCTATTTGAGAAAACGGCATTGTATTGTATCTTCGGGGTAAGACTATTATATTGTTGACACAACGAGTGTAATCAACGTAGTTTTTTATTTGGTGCTGGTCTAACGCATCCTTGTGTGACATTTGAAATGAAATTTGGGTGAAATTCCCAAGAAGAGAGAGTCCGCCTGACTCAGAGGTGGATTCTCCTTCCACACCATAACCCCTCTCCTCCTTCCCACCTCTCCATTGTCTCCCTCAAGCCAGCAACTACTCTTCATAAGGTAAAGTAAATATTAAAACACTACAACAAAACATTTATATTTACATGTGCAGTATTATATTTACATAAAAAAAAGTCATACAAGTATGGATGTTTTTGGGAGTGGAACGGATTAAATTTATTTCCTTTATTTTAAATGGGGAAATTTGTTTCCAAAGACGAGTTTTCCAGGTAACGAGCTCGGTGCCAGAACGGATTAAACTCGTTAATAGAGGTTCCACTGTAATACATATCAATAATTCATTACATTAACGATTATATCATGATATATAAATATGTGAATAGGGAATTCATATTAGCAAGACATGGTAACACTGGCTGGGTACGCAAGGAGAAGAGGGGAGGAGGGTTAAGGGAGGATTTCAAGACGTTACCGGATCAGCCGTTATACATAAGTATACATGAATACGATATAAAGTATATACTGAATGTATACAACATAAATATCAAAACCTTGTCCTATGGTATACATCTCACAATGCCATAAATAATTTACTGTCATAAGAGGACAATGCAATGAAGAATAATGAAATGGATATTCCACAGTATACATGATGATAATACATCAGAGACCTAAATGTATACATTCTACATCATAGTTCTCATAACAGGTCCTATACAGTAATACATAGCATTACATTCTCTAAGCATATAAGGGTGTTTTCCAAACTTCATGACATTAGGCTACTGCTATTCACTAGACTTCCAATATATATATATCCATAAATTCTTAGCATACAACTTTGGTATTGAAACATAATATACATAAATATATTTGACATACATTGGCAATACACAAATTCTACTAATATATTGTTGAAAGAAGATTAGAAAGAAAATATAATATTTGTGATACTGGACTTAGCAGCCAAGATATCACTATACAGTTTGAACACATCATACACCAGCCACAGTATGATTATATTGGTGTATGTGTGGTCATAACAACTACGTTCCTAGCTTTTCAACATAACTTTTCGTTTCTATGATGGACCTTGTGTCTTTTGAGTTTGGGTCTTCTCTTCTTATTGGATTCGTTATGAGGTTCCAGAGGCGTCCTGGCTAGCGGACAATCTCTTATTTTGGGGGGTTTGGTAACTCTTTTCTCATTTCCGCACACACTAGTGAGCCTCTATGAGGTAACAACCGTGTTTCAAATGTTTTCGAGTGGCCCTTCTTTTGAACCACTCAATGCCTGCCTGTTTGCTCCTGCTCTTTCCCGGGATGTGGGCTAAGTGCAGCTCCATGCCCAAGTGTCTATGCTGCTGGCTGATCTCATGGCAGAGGACTTTCATGCTCATTTGCACTTGGTCTTGGTCATGCAGTTCCCGGCCCTTGTGGGGCTCCATGCTGATTGGCTCTGTGAGGACGTTGAAGCGATTGGCTATGGGTATGGTGTGGGTTGCCTTGGTATCTGCCATGGCTTCATCTGCGACTTTGCCTAAGCTGTACATGCATGAACTCCAAGAGGTGGTGGGCATGTTCTATGCTGCCAGAGATATCTCAAGAATTCTAGAAACTCTTTGACTTATGTGACACCGATTGTGCATCATAGCTTTTCGAGCTCAGCAGTTTCTTTGGATAATTACATACAGCACTTACTTGGATGTACCACTGTACACAATATTTGACAATGTACAAAACAAAATGACATACAGTATATTAAAAAAAAAGATGACCTTTCAATCACCTTCCATATATTCTTTCATTGAGTTCCAGCATAAACCTATTGGTATGCTTCAAGGGTCTGGTGTAGAGAATTAGATAGTAGAAAGTAACTGTTCCTGAGGCAAGGGAGATATACAGTAGTTGTGTAATCGTTGTGATCAGAATAAACCTGGGTTTAGCGAGCATGACATGTCGTAATTCCCCTGCTAGGTTCTTCCAAATTTGTCATGATCGCCGAATCCAGGTTCATTCTGATCAAAATGATTACACAACTCAGTGTGTAATCATTGATTACAACGATTACAAAAATAACAATTGCACTTCCACACCTGCTGCTGCACTGTCAAATAACACAGTGAAAATAACTCGGGAACAGTTATTTTCCACCATCTAATTCTCTACACCAGACCCTTGAGGCATACCAATAGGTTTATGCTGGAACTCAATGAAAAGACATATGGATGGTGATTAAAGGTCATTGAGTTTTAAATGTGTAAAAAAATGGAAATTAGCATAGAGGTGTGAGTGTAAGGGTTTTGGGAGTCTTCATGGTTTTAGCAGTACTGCATGGGGTGACGTTTGCTTTCGAAGCCGACTGATTGTTGCATGTACAGCATCCAAATTTTTGTCATGAATGCCAGATACAGTGGTACCTTGGTTTAAGAGTTTAATCCGTTCCTGGAGACAGCTCGTATTCCGAAAACTCGTAATCCGAAGCTAATTTCCCCATAAGAAATAATGGAAAATGAATTAATCTGTTCCTGACTACCTAAACACCTCACTTCAAACTAAATTTTATACCTAATTCATCTAAATAAACCTACAAAACTATGTTCAAGTTATTACTTACCCTTGCTGATGACTGCTGTTGGTGAATGGAAGATGGTGAGGAGGAGGGAGGAGGAGAGGTGTTACTGTTTGGAAGGGGAGTCCCCTTCCATTATAACATCAGGCAGTGAGGACTTCACTGGTGTGCACTCTCTGGCACACTTTGCCTGCATACCACTAGGACTTACTTGTCTTACTAAGAATCTGTCTAAAGACACTTGTTTTTCCTTACATTTTAACACAAATCTGTAGTAAGACATCACATTGTCATTTAAAAGGTCAATGCAACGGCCTGCTACAGCTTTATCTGGGTGAGTTTTTTCAACAAAACTTTGCAGTTCTTCCCATACTTCACACATTTTCTTAATCAAGAAGGGACATCCTCTACTGCCTCTACTCACAGCTATTTTCTTAGGTTGAACCTTACCAATGGCTTTCTTGAGACCCATGGCGAGATATATAATAACAACTTTTATGCTCAAATGGCCAAAAAACCGAAAAAAAACTGTAAATCCTTGTGAAGAATTCAGGCGGGATAGTCACTGGGCAAGAGACACTGGTAAACTGAGGCGGGATCGCTGTGCCACCACGCGCTAGTCGGTCTGTACGTGTATCAACACCCTCACCTTCCGAGGCAAATTTTCCGAGCAACTCCTGCTCGTATTCCGAAAAACTCGTATACAGGGACACTCATATTCCGAGGTACTACTGTACTTGATTGAATGTTAACCACTTAATTTAATATATTTACTTGATCTTTTCAGGCAGTGAGGCAAGGTGATGGTGGGTGTGGGAACAAGGGGGGCAGCATGGGCCCTTGGGGGGGCATATGCTCCTCCCCACGGTGCCGGACACAACACACTGCTAGACGTACTTGGAGGGGAACCTGGGGGTCCTCCACTGGATGGTGCATCGCTCACTGTTGCCCTAGATGTTGTGCAGGCCTGGGCTGTGCTCATTACTGTGGGCTTCACTCTGGTGCTCTTCATATTTTTGGCCTTTTGTGTGTGTGCCAAGAAAGATGACGGGTAAGTACTGTGCTCAGGTGTTTAGTGCTTTTTATCTTCTGCCATATTAGATAATAATAAAATATGGACATTTTTAGTGATGTGATAACAGAAACACTAAAGCAGGTGTGAGAGTGCAGCAGCAGGCGTGACACAGTGCAGCAGCAGCAGCAGGCGTGACACAGTGCAGCAGCAGCAGGTGTGACACAGTGCAGCAGCAGCAGGCATGACACAGTGCAGCAGCAGCAGGTGTGACACAGTGCAGCAGCAGCAGGCGTGACACAGTGCAGCAGCAGCAGGCATGACACAGTGCAGCAGCAGGTGTGACACAGTGCAGCAGCAGCAGGTGTGACACAGTGCAGCAGCAGCAGGTGTGACACAGTGCAGCAGCAGCAGGCATGACACAGTGCAGCAGCAGCAGGTGTGACACAGTGCAGCAGCAGCAGGCGTGACACAGTGCAGCAGCAGCAGGCATGACACAGTGCAGCAGCAGGTGTGACACAGTGCAGCAGCAGCAGGTGTGACACAGTGCAGCAGCAGCAGGTGTGACACAGTGCAGCAGCAGCAGGCATGACACAGTGCAGCAGAAGGTGTGACACAGTGCAGCAGCAGCAGGTGTGACACAGTGCAGCAGCAGCAGGTGTGACACAGTGCAGCAGCAGCAGGTGTGACACCATGCAGCAGTAGCAGGTGTGACACAGTGCAGCAGCAGCAGGTGTGACACAGTGCAGCAGCAGCAGGTGTGACACAGTGCAGCAGCAGCAGGTGTGACACAGTGCAGCAGCAGCAGGTGTGACACAGTGCAGCAGCAGCAGGTGTGACACAGTGCAGCAGCAGCAGGCATGACACAGTGCAGCAGCAGGTGTGACACAGTGCAGCAGCAGCAGGTGTGACACAGTGCAGCAGCAGCAGGTGTGACACAGTGCAGCAGCAGCAGGCATGACACAGTGCAGCAGCAGGTGTGACACAGTGCAGCAGCAGCAGGTGTGACACAGTGCAGCAGCAGCAGGTGTGACACAGTGCAGCAGCAGCAGGTGTGACACAGTGCAGCAGCAGCAGGTGTGACACAGTGCAGCAGCAGCAGGTGTGACACAGTGCAGCAGCAGCAGGTGTGACACTGTGCAGCAGCAGCAGGTGTGACACAGTGCAGCAGCAGGTGTGACACAGTGCAGCAGCAGCAGGTGTGACACAGTGCAGCAGCAGCAGGAATGACACAGTGCAGCAGCAGGTGTGACACAGTGCAGCAGCAGCAGGTGTGACACAGTGCAGCAGCAGCAGGCGTGACACAGTGCAGCAGCAGGTGTGACACAGTGCAGCAGCAGCAGGTGTGACACAGTGCAGCAGCAGCAGGCGTGACACAGTGCAGCAGCAGGTGTGACACAGTGCAGCAGCAGCAGGCTTGACACAGTGCAGCGCAGCAGGCGTGACACAGTGCAGCAGCAGGTGTGACACAGTGCAGCAGCAGCAGGTGTGACACAGTGCAGCAGCAGCAGGAATGACACAGTGCAGCAGCAGGTGTGACACAGTGCAGCAGCAGCAGGTGTGACACAGTGCAGCAGCAGCAGGCGTGACACAGTGCAGCAGCAGGTGTGACACAGTGCAGCAGCAGCAGGTGTCACACAGTGCAGCAGCAGCAGGTGTGACACAGTGCAGCAGCAGCAGGCGTGACACAGTGCAGCAGCAGGTGTGACACAGTGCAGCAGCAGCAGGTGTCACACAGTGCAGCAGCAGCAGGTGTGACACAGTGCAGCAGCAGCAGGCGTGACACAGTGCAGCAGCAGGTGTGACACAGTGCAGCAGCAGCAGGTGTGACACAGTGCAGCAGCAGCAGGTGTGACACAGTGCAGCAGCAGGTGTGACACAGTGCAGCAGCAGCAGGCGTGACACAGTGCAGCAGCAGCAGGTGTGACATAGTGCAGCAGCAGCAGGTGTGACACAGTGCAGCAGCAGGTGTGACACAGTGTAGCAGCAGCAGGTGTGACACAGTGCAGCAGCAGCAGGCGTGACACAGTGCAGCAGCAGCAGGCATGACACAGTGCAGCAGCAGCAGGCGTGACACAGTGCAGCAGCAGCAGGCGTGACACAGTGCAGCAGCAGGTGTGACACAGTGCAGCAGCAGCAGGCATGACACAGTGCAGCAGCAGCAGGTGTGACACAGTGCAGCAGCAGCAGGTGTGACACAGTGCAGCAGCAGGTGTGACACAGTGCAGCAGCAGGTGTAACACAGTGCAGCAGCAGCAGGTGTGACACAGTGCAGCAGCAGCAGGTGTAACACAGTGCAGCAGCAGCAGGTGTGACACAGTGCAGCAGCAGCAGGTGTGACACAGTGCAGCAGCAGCAGGTGTGACACAGTGCAGCAGCAGCAGGTGTGACACAGTGCAGCAGCAGCAGGCATGACACAGTGCAGCAGCAGCAGGCATGACACAGTGCAGCAGCAGCAGGTGTGACACAGTGCAGCAGCAGCAGGTGTGACACAGTGCAGCAGCAGGTGTGACACAGTGCAGCAGCAGGTGTAACACAGTGCAGCAGCAGCAGGTGTGACACAGTGCAGCAGCAGCAGGTGTGACACAGTGCAGCAGCAGCAGGTGTGACACAGTGCAGCAGCAGGTGTGACACAGTGCAGCAGCAGCAGGCATGACACAGTGCAGCAGCAGGCGTGACACAGTGCAGCAGCAGCAGGCATGACACAGTGCAGCAGCAGGCGTGACACAGTGCAGCAGCAGCAGGTGTGACACCGTGCAGCAGCAGCAGGTGTAACACAGTGCAGCAGCAGCAGGTGTGACACAGTGCAGCAGCAGCAGGTGTGACACCGTGCAGCAGCAGCAGGTGTGACACAGTGCAGCAGCAGCAGGTGTGACACAGTGCAGCAGCAGCAGGTGTGACACAGTGCAGCAGCAGCAGGTGTGACACAGTGCAGCAGCAGCAGGTGTGACACAGTGCAGCAGCAGCAGGTGTGACACAGTGCAGCAGCAGCAGGTGTGACACAGTGCAGCAGCAGCAAATGTGTTAAACACATAAAAATATGTGAAATAGCAGCTTTCTTACAATGATTCTAGTTCAGTTTCATGCATTTGTCAGGAAAAAATTAGCAGTTCCAGAGAGTTCTCTTGTTAAGAAAGTTCATCAGTAAATTGATAGCTCAGACTGCCCTCTATTATGAAATTTTAAAATATGAATGAGACCTATCAAACTGTATAGTATTCCTTTATTACTTGTCATTCAAGGCTATATGAGTAATGTTATATTATTAAGTGTCAGTTAAATTGAAATACCTCATTTATGAACTGATATATCTTTTATTACCCCAACATTGGGGCCTCGTAGCCTGGTGGATAGCGCGCAGGACTCGTAATTCTGTGGTGCGGGTTCGATTCCCGCTCGAGGCAGAAACAAATGGGCAAAGTTTCTTTCACCCTGAATGCCCCTGTTACCTAGCAGTAAATAGGTACCTGGGAGTTAGTCAGCTGTCACGGGCTGCTTCCTGGGGGTGGAGGCCTGGTCGAGGACCGGGCCGCGGGGACACTAAAGCCCCGAAATCATCTCAAGATAACTGATGTTGAATACTGGTATGGCAGTGAACTATATGCATCTGCTCCTCTGACCTGGCAGATGACTGTAAAGAAACCAGAAAGACAGGCATTTACAAATTCTATGCAAAGGGCATTTAATTCACTGTGTCTGGGGACAGGAAGCCAGAATGTATTCATACACGTTAGGCTTTTATCTAGGCCCCCCCCCCCAGGTCGAACCCCACCCAGGATGCAACCCCACAACAAGCTGACTAACCCCTTAGTACTGTACCTACTTGCTGCTAGATGAACAGGTGCATTAGATGAAAGGAAATGTGCCCAACCATTTCTGTCCCGCTGGGATTTGAACCCAGAATTCTCAATTGTGCGTAGAGGATGAATCCGACTACTACCGGGACCCTCTTCAGACATAAATTCAGAATATTTGCAGACATAAATATTGTGGATGGGAAAGGGTTAAGAATGCAGCTACCCCTATCCCAGAAAATGTCTAAATGTACAGTACTCAGGAAGGGAAAATGTAATTTTGGCTCAACATGCAGGTATTTCCATCTAGACATGAAAATTCTCACTCGAGGAAAGAAAAATGCTGTGATCTGAGCTGCCCAGATTTTCACATAAAAGGCACAGAACACTACACAAAGAGCAGCAAACAGGAAAATGGCTGTGGAGGAAAATCAGATAATTTTTTAGACCTAGAAGAAAAGATTTCAAAAAGTGGAACAAAGGGAGTGTATAGAACTGGCTGAAAGAACCACTTGCATATCAGAATCACAGATACAATTACACTTAACACTTTCGCTCGGGGATGACGCAGCATTGCGTCATCCGTTTACTGGCGGTAATGCCGGGGATGACGCAGCATTGCGTCATCCACTTTAAAAATTCGCCAAAAATCAGGTTTGTATCCGATTTTTTGGGGACTGGTTTTAAAATGTGCGCCGATGTCTTCCCATTTCCTTTGTTGAGCCTCGTGGCCCTCAGGCGGCTTGGCACACGCCGTGGGCCCATTGTCTTTGCTCCACTGTTGTGACCAATGTCGTCTCCCCTCGCATCTCAAACGTGTGAACATTTCGGCTATTTTCCGTGGCTATATTTCTTACTGCGGCTTTAGAAACTATCTACGCTTACTCCACGATGGATAGTAATCATGAACAAGGCCCTTCCAGGAAGAAAATTGCGAAAGAAAGGCTTGAAAAGGGTGGGAATTGGGAGTGTAGTAGGAAGGCCTCTGAGCGCTCACTCACGGCTAACGCGTGGCCCGTCTTCAACTCGTCGGCGGTTGGAGCGTGACCAGGTGTTTTTTTTTATATGCTAATGTTCCTCTAGAGAATTTTATTACGAACCCATTGAGACCAAAATGAAAGACCTAGGACAAAAATTGAGGTGACCAGAGTGAAAATAGTGAAAACATTTTATCCCGTTTGCGCGCTCCCGGGTAACTCGTTCGCACTTTCTCTGTTTGCTGCGGGTAATTAGCCGGGCTTTTGG